GACTATAATCTTTTTGATTAAAAAAACAAACAAAACAAAACCAGATAACAAAGTTTTACTCTTTAAAACTCACTCTTTTTGTCTAGGGTGACCTAGTGCTTGTACCTAAGAATGACTCGCGATTTCTATAGTTGCTATTCTAGACATAATTTCATACTTTGGGCTGTGTTTTATTCAGAGAGGCAGTATTTGCTAGGGTAATTCCCGCTCCAGGCAAAAGTGCCAAAAACGTTTCAGTTTCTGCTTGTTCAGACATCAGAAGTACAGAGAAGCCGTAACCTCCTCATGCCAAGGACGGTGCCGGTGTCAGCCCCAACTGCGAGCTTACATCTGCCTGGGAGATTTGCCCACATGAGTTTTGGTTTTTTACTACGAGGCAAGTCAGCGCTCAGCTGCGTGGAGATACTAATCCTCTAGAATATAAAATAATCTAGAGGACAAAATCTGTTGCATGCATGCGCATTATGGTAACTAGTCATCACTTTTCTTTTATCGCATTGAAAATGGTAGGAGTGCAAATATGCCAAAATAGTGTCCCTGTATAATATGGTAGTTGTCTAATTCATTTTGTTGTTGAAAGCGTGGGATAATAGACATTTGTAAACACCGAGTGACAAATAGTTATGAGCCAATCTCTGGACCAAATTCTTTAGCTATAGTTTCATGGCTTGACCTCTTCTTTTTGCGTCTAGTTTTTGGTTCTTTATTCTTTTTTTCCTCTCCAGAGGCAGTTTTCAAAAACTTATGCAGCGCTATGAGCTTCATTGGTGACCCATACTTGCACAATAATCACAGTCATCTAGGTTGGAATGTATCTATTTGGCCTGGCATCAAAGGGTCTGAGAAACTTAAGCCCTGGTTTTCCAGGATTACAGGTAGCACATAAAGATGGGATTTCCAGAGGAAACTGGGCATAAACGACCCCCTGACTGTCTATGGAAAGTGGGTGCCTAACTTCTCGATTTCCGTCAGAAGCCAGTGTTTGCTTGAAACACTGTGCAGCTTTTCAAACTGCTTTTCTTGTCCCTCTGTTTTCTGAGCACACAGCACATTCTAACACATCTGGCTTCTGATAACATTAGATGGACATTTAAGAAGCCCGTTCTTAAATTATAAATTTACATATGTTCATTATTAAAGCTCTTTATCTTGTTTGGTATACGTAGAGAGTGTATTTTTTCCTTATGCAAGGTGCACTTGCAGACTAAAAAAAAAAAAAATCCATTCTCATCACAGTAAGTTTATCCTCACATAAATTTTTAGACTTACAGATGACAAGAAGAGATGACCAAGAGTGATGATTTACAAGAACTGTAACACCCATAGCTTGTTAAATCTTTGCTTCTACAGCAACAGATTATGCAGCCTGTTTTTACAACAACATGTTGTACCGGTTTAGGGAAAGCATTCTGTATGTAACTTTACTTTTTCATCCAAGACAAGTGTAATTCTTCTGGGAATAAATTCAAGGATCTATAGACATACGTTACCAATACCGACTGCCACGATTCAGTGATAGTCTGTGGGGAATGTATAGGAGATTTAACAGCTGGGAAGGGAGGGTTAAGCGCCAAGGAACAGCTAAGTTGCCGTAGGATTCATGCTTGGAGAAAACTTACATTTTGATTTTAAGGTAGAGTTGATGATGTTTGGCCTATCTTTGTAACCATCATCTATGAATAATAGGATGCTAAACTGTCTTTAATCTATGAAATAAGTATTGATTCCGTCTAGCTCCCCAAATGAAGTATTTCATAACATTTATTTTCCTTGTAGATTGTAAATGTAAATGAATACAAAACCATATATATTTCAGTTTCTAAATGCCTAATATTTTTATGTTTAGGGATCCATTTTAAAGTAAATATTCCTGCTATCAGCTGAACCAACCAACCAATTTTATGTCCATTAAGATAGTTGCGATCTTCAGTAGCACTTTAGATAGCTTTCACTGGGTTTTGGCAAGTGCATCAGGTTCTTGTTTGGGTGGGTTTTTTTATTTGTTTGTTTTAATGCAGTCAGTAGTGGTCAGAACTGCTCTTCTACTGTTTTAAAGCCAAAACAATTAAACTTAAGTTGACGAGGATTTATAGTAATCATACTTCATTTCATTTGTTAGAATCCCCTAATGGAAGAAAATGAACCAGTTTTATTGATCTGTTTTTACCCAGAGAAATTCACAGGCAAACAACAATGATTTTTTTTGGTTTATTAATTCATTGTTGGATGTAGTGTGTGTATATATATAAATAAAAGACAATTGCCTGAATGTGAGTATACATATCATGGTTAAGCATAATACTCAAAAAAAGGAAGTATCTTTCATTTATTTTCATTTAAATTGTGAAATCAGTAACTGTGGTATATATACATATTGTTCCATACTCTTTACAGCTACTTCATGGATATGTCTGCCAGCATTTTGCGCATATTTTGCACCATTTTTGTTTAACATTATGAAAAGAGGAGAGTTTCTCAAGCTAATGCATTGCCTTATGTATTTTATCTCTGTACTTGTTGATAAATGCAGGTAGTGCTTTTCTAATTGTACTCCAGCAGTACACTGGCATTGGTAAATTAGATGCACAGTATATACCTGTCTCAGGATACCTGGATTTTTCATCATTAGGTTTGAAGTATAAAAAGATACTGAACTCATATTTTTGTATGCTGACAATTGTGTAGGTTTTTTATATATACTGTATATATCAATCAAGTTTTCCTAAAGAAAATGTATTATTAGAAACGTTTCCCTTTTCCTGCTAGAAGATGTGGGTTTATGTTTTCTTGTTATGTATGTATAAATGAATATACAGCATGCACAGTCATGCAGATGTTAACACCATCAAGAAATTTCAGATTGTCCAGAGGCCAATCAAGTAGTCATTTCTTATCTTCTTCTCCAGAAATAACATCTCCATAATAGAAATCCTGTATGGCTAGAATGGACCTACTTTAGAAATAACTTCTGCTTCAGTTTGAAAGTCCAATGTGTTCAAAGTGGCTGGGACATTTCTGCAAGTACTTAGATTTGGACTTTCATTGGAATATCTGCAACATCTTCTGTATGTGTGTGTGTCCTATCTGTACCATGCGCCAGATTTAAAAGACTAAGCAGCCTTATTAACTTTTTAATACCCTGTATATAGTGTATGTATTTGGTTATACTTGTGTTACACTTTAAAAATGAACTTAATTTCTGCATCGAGTATTGCACACATTTTTCAAATGAAGAATATATTGTCTCATTAAGCACAAGAGAGCGTTACGCTTTGAAATATTATGT